AGTAGAATTAACCTCTTCTCCTGGGGGGTCAGCTCCTCAGTGCCGCCAGGGCCTGACCCAAGCTCAGCCACGGGCAAGGGTGCATGGTGCAGCCTGGGAGACAAGGCCGCGTGGGCGGGGGCTGGCACAGAGCTGCGGGGAGCTCCCCAGCCCAGGACACCACCTGCACACACTGTATCCCCTGGCCCCAGAGGCTCTTGGTGTCCAGACAGCTGCTTCGGGGCTGGGATGGGGGGTTTCCAGCCCAGTGGCCACTGGGAATGCATTAGAATGAAAGCATCCACCGCCCAAGGCCTCCAGAGGGTCTTATCCTTGGTCCCTCGGGAGGGGAGGGCATGCCCGCTGTCTGGGAGGGGCAGACAGAACAAGGAAAGTGTCAGGAAAGAGACTTACCGGACATGAGAGTTGTAGATGTTAAAAGACAGACAGACCACAGCCAGGACAATGCCCAGGCTGGACAGAACAGAGACGGAGATGAAGAGTTTCTGGGACATGAAGCGAAATGTCTTGATGACCAGGGTCTGGTCAGCCGGGGGGGCCCCTCCTGCATGGCATGGGTGGTAAGAGGGGTCTGGTCAGCTAGGGGTCCCTCCTGCATGGAACTGCAGGTGGGGGGGATCTGGTCAGCTGAGGACCCCTCCTGCATGAAACTGGGGGGGTTCTGGCCAGGTGGGGGGGCCCCTTCTGCATGGCATGAAGGATAAGAGGGGTCTGGTCCCTCCTGCATGGAACTAGGGAGGGTCACAGCCAGCTGAGACCCCTCACCAGCACTGGGGTTCTAGTCAGGTCGGGGTCCCTCCTGCATGGAGAAATGGGGGAATGCAGATGGTGGGAGTCCCTCCTGCATGGAACTTTGGGGATGGGGGAGCAATACAGCTGAGAACCCTCCCCTGCATGGAACAAGCTGTGGTCAGGTGGGGTCCCTCCTGCATGGCACTGGGGGGGACACGGGGGACAAGGAATGAAGATGGGGCAGGTGACACCATCCTAGCCGTGAGGACATGGGGACCCTCGCTGCCCTGGATCAGGCCTCGGTGCCCTCCTGCCGCGGGGGGGTCCCTGGGAAGCAGTCAGAAGTGAGGTGGGAGCGCTACAGACCCAGATGGCAGCAAAGCCCTAGTCTGTTTCACTGTCATTGTCTGTTCCGTGTTTTTTCTGTCTGTTTGCAGCAAAAGAGGAAAGTGGGTGGGAAAAGAAAGTGAGATAAGCCTCACGAGGTCTCTTATGGCTTCAAATCAAAAAGCTGCAAAGACAGCTGTAGAATCATAAATCCAGAAACTTCAAAGTATCCAGGCTGGTCTCCTCACCTTAGGAAAACGATCTGTGGTACCTCATAGGGTGATATACCCAAAGGTGTTTGGGTTGATAATAGGGAAGCTCAAATGTGTCATCGAGTTCACAGGGGGAAAAAACGAAAAAAAAAAAAACCAATTCAATTTGTTTAAACTTTAAAGAAAAAGTGTAATTTAGGCGTGCAGCATTTATGTAGCACAAATTACTATCCTAAATTCAAGTATGAAGAAATGTCAGCTCACCAGCAGTGCTGGGAATCTCTAGATCCCAGCTGGGTAGAGTCTGTCCCCCACCCCTCAGTCCCTCTTTTGTCCCACCTGAGTGTCTTTCCTATTTCTGATCATTTTAGCCCACAAAAGCACCTGAAGTAATTGTTTCCTTTTCCCTTTAAAAGCACGTTTCATTGGAAGAAATTACATGAGGTTCAAGCCTCTCCTAGGTTTTCTAGTGACCTTGAGATGAAGAAGCTGTAGGCCTCAAGTAGCTAGTTCAGGAACAGCAGGCACCAGAACAGCTGAGTAAGCCAGACAGGGTTTCCTGGCTGCCCCCTGTGCACCCCACCCTAGCCCTCATACCTGAGCAATGTCCTATCCATACCGGTGCATTGCTACCCAACCTACCCCTCCCAAATACAGCTCCCCTAGCGTCTAACCTGGGCCCCAGCCCCCCAGACCTCAGGCACTGCCACCCCTCACCCCCGATTCACAAGGCTCTCCTCAGCTGCTCAGGGGCACTGAAGAGGAAACATCAGCAGGGCCCCGCACCAATCCACTTGTCGTTTTGGACCAGGAAAGGTCATCCTTGGTGCTGTCACTTAGTAGCCAATCTTCTTGTAGCTTCCACCTGGATGGGGACAAGGGGGGGGGGTGATTATGAAGTGAGGAGCCCAACCCCAGCTTCCCAGGTTCTACTTCACCCTGAGCCCCTCAAGGGGCACCTGGGAGGGACCTGGGGCCGCTTCAGACCAACAATCTGACTGAGCGAGACACAGGATGTCGCGTAAATACAGAAAACATCTTCCTACGTCTAAATGGTCGCCGCCCGTCTTGTAGCCTACCTATCTCCCTACTTGGATGTCACCGCCCATTCGATTCTGGCTTCCTAAAGCTTTCAACATCCTGCTCATTCTCATGACAGACAGATCACAGCATCTATTTTTCCCAGTGGCTTTCATTTTTAATTTTGGGCTCTCTTCTGTTGGCTTGGGTTCTAATTCCTTGGAGAGAGTTGCATCTGCCTCTTTAAAGACCGAGACAAAGGCCAGATACAACATGCTGACTCTAAGATTCCCTGCTCCACATCTGGTTCATGAACAACCCTTCAAGCCAAACACACCTCCCCTCAGAAGTGGGAGGAGAGAAGGAACAGAGAGGAAGGATAGAGCTGAGGAGGGAAAGTGGGGGAGGGGGAGGAGGATGGGGATGGGAGGTAGAGGGGGGGGGAGGTGGTGCGAAGAGGAGAGGATGGGAGGAGGTAGAGGAGGAAAAGAGACTCAGAAGGTATTTAGAGGGTCCGGAGTTTAAGAGGAGATAAATTAGAGATACAGGAGGAAGGAAGGGGCTGAGATAGGAGTGTGGAGAAGGAGGAAAAAGAAATTAGAGAATGGGAGGAGGGGGGTGGGGGGGCAGGAGAGAAAGAAACTTCCCTCCGAAGGCCACACAATGGCTCTCTTGCAAGGGCTCTAGGAAGCTGGTTGGGGTGTGAACAGTTCAGCTCACAGAAACCTGGCAAATACACACATACATGTGGTAAATTATAAGAAAATGCAATCTAGAAAAACCAAGCTATGTACACCACACAAAAATTAGGATGCTTGTTTATATAGCAGGGAAATTCAATAGGTTGGTTCCTTTACAAATGGTCTCTGCCAGATGTGGCTTTCCTTGAGTTGTGGGTAAGTGACCAACAAGGCGTTAGCCCCTCGTTGGCAAGCCACCCAAGGGAAATTCCTGAAATTAAATGGGAAGCCACTGGGGAAAGACGGGCTTTCACTTTGCCTGCCCCTCTCCAACTCCTGAACACCCACCGTCCCTCAGCTTTTCACTGCTCTCATACTATAAGAGCTTGACGAGCAGTTAGAGGAGAGCAGCCAGAGGTGGGAGGCCCCTAGGTCATTGAGTCTTGCCCCAGGCGGTGACCCCGAACAGCTGGCCCCTGCCCCCTGCGCTCACCCTGCAGCTGCTCGATGAGAGTCCAGGCCATCCGGGAGCCACTGGCATCGAAGACCACATGGCCCTGAGGGAGGGAAACAGGCGGAGGCAGACAGAGGTGATAAAAGCAGGAGCGAAAAGAGACTCAGGGACTCTCTGGATCCTTATGCTTTGATGTAACTGAGCCTCTGAATGAAGCCTATTTCTGGCATTTGCCTGCATATAGGACGTACCCCAGATGCCCATACCCTAGATTCCAGACACATTATTCTGTTGAAAAGAAGCTTCACCCATGGGATTTGAGTGAGAAAGAACCCCAGGTAGAGCACCGGAGACCCGGCCCCTGGCTGTGTGACCTGGGTAGTCAAGAAATCCTTCTGGACACTAATTTCCCCGCTCTGAAAGGAACAGGAGACAACCTATCCGACTATTTCCTCCTCTAACGTTCTACGATTCTCATCTATTAATTCCTACATTGGAAAGAAATGAGGGAGAGGTGGACAGAAAAGGAATACACCACTTTTCCTTCTAGTCTCTTATGGGTTCTTCTGGTTTGGGGGTCCCTACCCCCCAACCCAAGACCCATTATTGCAGAGACTGACGTGCACATCCAGGAGGAGGATGCTGTGTCTGTGGGAGGATGGGGAGTGTGAAGGAGGTCACTGTAACTCACAGAGACGCCCTCGAAGGACGAGGAGTTCATCGCCCGGTAGATTTGGTCAGTAATGGTCTGGTTGTTATAGTTGAAGTCCTCCAGGCGCACCCCCGAACGGCCACCCCCTCCAGACGTCTTGTTCAGAGCCAGCGCCAAGGCCCAGATGGCGTCGTAGGCCAGCGGCGCCTCCTGGAACCCACCGGTCTCCTCGGGGTGTCTCTTGAGTCGCTTGGTCAGCTTCTCCACAAACTCCTGGGATGTCTGCGGAGGGAAGGAGGGGAGAAAGGGTTGGCGCAGGAGGGGGTGGGGGGCACGGCTTCTTATTCTGGCTCCAGAACTTCTGTTGAACGGATGGTTTGTGCTCATGACAGATGGAGCGCACGGCCCTTCGAAATCTAACCATGCCCCTGTATCTCTTAGATCAGCCGGTGAGCTGGGTCCAGGGGCTCAGCGTGCCCAGCCACTAGCTCAGAATGGGAACAGAACGTCTAAGGAACAGTCACTCTGCAGAACGAATGGCAAGAGAAAGGAGACGTGGACGACCTTCTCTCGTGCTCAGACCCAGCACCTGACAGCTCCTCCAGTTCGGAAACACCCTAGATGAGGTTCCTGCAGAGCCCTCCTCACTGGACTCACCAGGCAGGAAGGGGGCTCTTCAGTGTGCTACCTGCCTTACCGTCCTCACGGGCCTTCAGCTCACAGCCCCCCGAAGGGTGTTCGAGAGACTGAGAGCCCAGAAGCAACCTTCATGTGTTTGAGGTCCAATACTCAGCCCCTACCCACACCCTCCCCACCCTCAACGTCTTTCCTCCAGAAGCTAAAGAGAATGAGATAGCTCCTGTAACTGTCAGGAGATGAATAAAGAGCCCTAAACTTCTGTACCTGGCAATGACCTCATTTGGCTAAATAACCATAGGTCAGTTGCTCAAGTTTTTGGAAATGTCTAGCACGTAATGGAGAAAAATCACATCTGTCCTCTGTTACCTCCCAGAGGCCACACAAGGAAATACCCAGAGGCTACCTCTTGGCAAAGCACAAGTAATACACAGGGCACCTCAGAACTCTGTTAGATCTGGAATGTACTAACATCCTCAGACTCTAAGGAAGAAATGAATGATGAAGTATAAATAAAAATCTGTTTCCCATGCCCTGCCCGCTTTTCTTTCTATTCATCTTTCTGAAGATACAGCAGTGGGAGGTGCAAGGGGCAGGCAGTGTGGTAGAGGGGAAACTGCCTCTAAAAACGGGCCAGGACCAAGTTCCATCCGTCTGCACACCCTCAGCCCCCAGCCCTGTGCCCAGCACACCATGGACAAGCAGCAAATGTATCCTGGATTAGGGCAGCAAAAAATACCCCACATGTAATTCTAATGGGAGATACATGTCATTGTACATTTGCCCAAACCCACAGAATATACACCCCAAAAGCAAGCCCTTGTGTAAACTGTGGGCTTTGGGAGATAATGTATCAATGTAGATTCATCAACTATAGGCACTCTGGTGGGAATGGTGATAACGGGGGGGAGGTGTGCACATATGGGTTCAGGAAGCACATTCTTCTCAATTCTGCTGTGAACTTGAATTACTAAAAAAAATAAAGTATTTTTAAAAATGTCCATTGGCACTTTTCCAAAGAAGACATCCAGATGGCCAACAGACACATGAAAAGATACTCAACATCACTCATCATCAGGGAAATACAAATCAAAACACAATGAGGTACCACCTCACACCTGTCAGAATGGCTCACATTAACAACTCAGGCAACAACAGATGTTGGCGAGGGTGTGGAGAAAGGGGAACCCTCTTGCACCGCTGGTGGGAATGCAAACTGGCGCAGCCACTCTGGAAAACAGTGTGGAGATTTCTCAAAAAATGAAAAATAGAACTGCCCTATGACCCAGCAATTGCACTACTAGGTATTTATCCAAGGGATACAGGTGTGCTGTTTCGAAGGGACACATGCACCCCAAAGTTTATAGCAGCCCTATTGACAATAGCCAAAGTATAGAAAGAGCCCAAATGTCCATCGATGGATGAATGGATAAAGAAGATGTGGTATATATATAATGGAATATCACTCAGCCATCCAAAAGAAGAAATCTTGCCATTTGCATAATGTGGATGGAGCTAGAGAGTATTATGATAAATGAAATAAGTCTGAGAAAGGCAAATATCATATGATTTCACTCAGATGTGGGATATAAGAAACAAAACAGATAAATGTATAGTGGGGGGAACAAGACGAGAGAGGGAAACAAACCTCAAGAGACTCCTAATGACAGAGAACAAACTGAGGTTGATGGAGGGAGGGTTAGGGGGATGGGCATTAAGGAGGGCACTTGTTGGGATGAGCACCAGGTGTTGTATGTAAGTGATGAATCAGAGAGTTCTCCTCCTGAAACCAATATTTCACTGTATGTTAACTAACTAGAATGTAAGTACAATTTTGGAAGAAAACAAAATAATAAAAACAACTTGAAAAAATAAAACTAAAAATGTCCACTGGTGGGGGGTCTGGGTGGCTCAGTCGGTTAAGCATCCGACTCTGGTTTCAGCTCAGGTCATGATCTCAGGGTTTGTGAGTTTGAACCCCACGTCGGGATTCTCTCTCCCTCCCTCCCTCTCTCTCTCTCTGCCCCTCCCCTGCTCACACCCTCTCTCTTGTCTGTCAAAATAAATAAATAAGTAAACTTTTAAAAAAATGTCCATTGGATAGATCTCAATTCCAACTGACCCATCTACCTGCTGTGTAACCTGAAATGACTTATTAAACCCCACTAGTTGGTTATTCAACTTTTTTTAAGTGATCTTCAAGCTCACTGAAGAGCCCAACATGGGACTTGACCTCATGATCAAGACCTGAGCTGAGATCAAGAGTTAAACACTTAACCCACTGAGCCACACAGGCGCCCCCTGGTTATTCAACTTTAAAATGGGCATAATACTATCTCGAAGGGTTATTATATAAAATAACAATATATATAAAATACAGGGTATAAAGTAAGTTGCAGTTTCTTTTTGTGAATCTCCTTGTCTCTTAATCTCACTGTTGTCACTGATACTCAGATCTATAATCAGGCTCAGCATTTCAGGACCTGTATCCCCAACTGTCTCTGAGGCATTTGTAACTATACGATCAGTAATCCAAAATTAAAAATATCTAAGACTAAGCTCAATTTTTCTTCACTCCCAACACTGCCCAATACATGAGACTGAAGCTTTAGAACCACCTTGGGCTCTTTCAAATCATGAAGTCCTCTCAATTCTTCTATTGAAATGTTTCATTAATAACCATCAGCCCCTATGGGGCACCTGGGTGGCTCAGTCGGTTAAGCAGCCAACTTCGGCTCAGGTCATGATTTCACGGTCCGTGAGTTCGAGGCCCATGTCGGGCTCTGTGCTGACAGCTCAGAGCCTGGAGCCCGTTTCAGATTCTGTGTCTCCCTCTCTCTCTGCCCCTCCCCTGTTCATGCTCTGTCTCTCTCTGTCTCAAAAATAAATTAAAAAACGTTAAAAAAAATTAAAAAGGGGCGCCTGGGTGGCTCAGTCGGTTAAGTGGCCAACTTCGTCTTGGGTCATGATCTCGCAGTCCATGAGTTTGAGCCCCGCGTCAGGCTCTGTGCTGACAGCTCAGAGCCTGGAGCCTGTTTCAGATTCTGTGTCCCCCTCTCTCTGACCCTCCCTTGTTCATGCTCTGTCTCTCTCTAAGATAAATAAACGTTAAAAAAAATGTAAAAAAAAAAATAACCATCAGTCCCTACACTGAAAAATGTTAATAATAATAGCTAACATTTCTATTTCCTTACAATGTACTAGGTATTTTCTAACATATTTATAAGGTATTTCTAAGGTGTATATATAAATTTATTTAATCCTCAAATAATCTAATGAGGTTTATTGCCCATTTTAGAGATAAAGAAACAGGCACAGAAAAGTTAAACTTGCCAGAAGTTATACCGCACAGCAGGGCTGGGATTCAAGGCCAGGCAGGCTGGCATCAAAGTCCTTACTCTTGGGGTGACTGGGTGGTTCAGTCAGTTAAGCGTCCGACTTTGGCTCAGGTCAAGATCTCACGGTTCGTGGGTTCGAGCCTCGCGTCAGTCTCTGTGCTGTCAGCTCAGAGCCTGGCGCCTGCTTTGGATTCTGTGTCTCCCTGTCTCTGCTCCTCCTCCGCTCTCTCTCTCTTTCTCTCTCTCTCTTGCAAAATAAATAAATAAAAACTTAAACAAAAAACAAATGTGATGGAGGGGCGCCTGGGTGGCGCAGTCGGTTGAGCGTCCGACTTTGGCTCAGGTCACGATCTCACAGTTTGTGAGTTCGAGCCCCGCGTCGTTCTCTGTGCTGACAGCTCAGAGCCTGGAGCCTGCTTCAGACTCTGTGTCTCCCTCTCTCTCTGCCCCTTCCCCTGCTCACACTCTGTCTCTGTCTCTCTCTCAAAACAAAACATTAAAAAAAATTTTTTTTAAGTAGGGAAAAGCTGATAACAAACCTGGAAACAATCTCAGTGTTCATCAGTGGGGAGTGTCCAGACCCACCATGATACATTATACAATGTTAGTTTAAAAGAAATAATTTAGGGGCGCCTGGGTGGCTCAGTTGGTTAAGCGTCCGACTTCAGCTCATGTCATGATCTCACGGTTCGTGAGTTCGAGCCCCGCATCGGTCTCTGTGCTGACGCTTGGAGCCTGGAGCCTGGAGCTTGATTTGGATTCTGTGTCTCCTTCTCTCTCTGCCCCTCCCCACCTCCCCATCTTGCTCTCTATCTCCCTCTATCAAAAATAAATAAACATTAAAAAATAAAATCTTAAAAAAACACAAAGAAACAAAGTCCATAGTCCTCCTAACCACCTTACATCACGTCTGCATGTGGACATGCCCCCTCCGAGAGCACCTGCCCAGCAGAGAGCCGCTAAGCTGAGACTTTGAGTCATCCTCAGCCTCGAAGTCTATCCAATCTCCAGTTCAAAGTAAACACTGGATCAGGAAAATACCCAGATGGAAAGGGATTCATCTGCTAGGAATGGGGTCCTCCCTGACCACATCTTCACAATTTCTGCTGGCTCCAGGTCACTTGACAAACACACTTGACCACGGGGGGCATCGGCCCCCCCTGACTAAAGTTACCAAAAAAATGTTTCCCCTTGGGTCAACAGAGATACGGTTGCAAATGTTCAAGTAGAAACATTACTAGGCAGCTCAAGGAGAGGCAAACAGCAAAACTTCTACAACCCATAGAAATTAATAATCAAGTATAACTTTATGACCCTAATTTTCACCAGCCCTTCTGTTACAGCCCTTTCTGGAGCTTCACACTGACCTAAAGGGTGTGTCCTGGGGCAGCTTTTGATTTTGTATTGTACCAAGATCTGATGAGACCTCTACCCCAAGAGACAGAATCTCATCCCCAGGTACAGCCACCTCCCCACTGCCCCTCTAGCCCCAGAACTGCAATATTTCCCCAAAACTACTCCAACCTACTGTCCTAAACTATGTTTCTCAACATATGCAGAAAAAGGATTCAATAAAAAGGATATCCATTCACAATAAAATCCCTTGGCATTAAGAAAAATAAAAATAAAAATAAATAAACCAGGGTTTCGCAATCTCTGCACTATTGACATTTGGATCAGGATAATTCTTTGCTGTGGGGACTGATCTGTGCCTCATCGGATGTTTAGAAGCATCCCTGGCTTACCCATCAGAAGCCAGTCGTGACAACCAAACTTATCCTTAGATATTGCAACCTTTGGAAAACTACTGCTCGAGCCAACAGTCCTCAAGATGTGGTCTCCAACCAACAGCACCAACATCCCCAGGGCACTGGTTAGAAATGTAGGTTCCCAGGTCCACCTCAGACCCACTGAATCTGAACTTCCAAAGGAAGAGCCCAGTAATGTGTGTCCTAATAACCCTCCAGGAAGGTGAAGCTTGAGAGCCAGTGCCCTTAAGTGACAGCCATCCTTATGGGCCAGAGGCAGTTCTGCTTTTCTCAGTCAGCATGGCTCTGGCCCCTGGGTCCAGCCTGTGCTTCTGGTCCACCCTCCTGGTCCCTGCTTGATTCATCCACCATGTCTTCCCATCAGTGGTTCAGGCTGCTTCTACCCCTGGAAAATCTCGGCTGGTCCACTTGGTGTTTCAAGCTATGAAGCAGACCTCCCGTCACCAGAACAAAGGCTATGGCCTCAAAGGCAGGCACTACCTCTCTCTAGAGACCAAGAGCCAGAAAGAGACCCTCTCGCTCATTGAGTTCCAGAGCCCAGATGTCCCTATTCTCTGCCAGGGACTCCACTGTTGCCTGCTGTGGGGCAGAAGCTGAGACGGGCAGGGCCTGGGCTCTAGACATCAGCTCCAGTACTCCCCAGGTTCTCTCCAGGTTCCCCAGGATGGCTCGCTGCTCAGGTGCTCTGCAGGAAAGTGATCCCTGGAAACTTCCCCAGACAGAGTCCACAACTGGAGTCCACACAACACAACCCTCTGCTAGAACAGACTGACTGGACCTTCTTCCTCCCCTGCTCCAAAACTCTCACCAGCTCAGGTGTTAGCCAATAAAGGCACAGAGTCTTTAGTCAGAATTCATGGTTTTCCATGGAGGGTGATGGCGCAGAGGGCCTGGGGTCAGACTCCAACAGGGGCCAACTCTGGCCTCACGACTCAGCAGGGACAGGGCCGGAGGGTGATGGGGCAGAGGGTCTGGGCTCCAACAGGGGCCAACTCTGGCCTCACGACTCAGCAGGGACAGGGCCAGGAGGGTGATGGGGCAGAGGGGTCTGGGGTCAGACTCCAAGAGGGGCCAACTCCGGCCTCACAGCTCAGCAGGGACAGGGCTGGAGGGTGATGGGGCAGAGGGGTCTGGGGTCAGACTCCAACAGGGGCCAACTCCGGCCTCACAGCTCAGAAGGGACAGGGCCCCTAGGCCAAGTCACTTAACCTCTTTGCATCAGTTTCCTGGTCGATAGAACAGAATGAAAACCCTAATCAGAGCATTGGTGGCAGGATCACTGAAATCATGTACCTAAGCTCCTGGTTTACTACACAAAAGCATTTTCACTGAACCTTTGTTTTGATGGGATATTTGGGACTTTACGACCATGAATTTGCCCCTGGCATGCTTTCCAAAACAGGTACCCCAGACCTGGAGCTACCCCTAGGAGTAATAAGCAGGCATGCAGATTGCCCTGTAAGCTGGCTCAAGACGCCCATGGTCCTTGGGGAAAGGAGCGGGTGCCCCTCCCGCGGGGCCACCCCAGCCTTCCCAACCAGATCATTCGCCTCCCAGCTCTAGGTCCGCCACTATCTGTTATCCGGAAGTAACTGATTTCAGAAGTCCCTTTTATATCTGAAATTCTAAAAGGGAATCATTGAAACAACATCAGGAACCAAGCTAATTGAGTATCAATCAGGAGTGAATATTAAGCAAGTGCAAAGGGCCCGGAAGTCACTAAGAGAATAAAAGGCGTTTCAGCTCAGGAACAGCTCTGCCGAGGTGCCTGCGTATACAGCATCTATATGATCATTAACGCCTCTCCTTCACTCGACTTCTTGCCAACCGCTCCTTGTTGCCATGGTAACAGCCCTTCCACTCAGGTGGGCCTAGTGAACTTGCCCCTCCCATCTCTCCTTCCCGCTCCCCTGCCCTGCCAGGTTCCCTCAGTCCTCGCCCCTGCCCAGGGGCTGGCTTCTAGGTCCCCACTCTCACCATGTTGGAGATGCTGCGGGTATTGGCCGGGTTCAGCATGACGATCTCAGTGGTGATGTGGCCTTCCACAGCCTCCGTCATCTCGTCCACTGTGCAGTTGATGGACGGGTCGTAGATCTTGAACCAATTGTCAGCATACCAGCCGATGAGGAACCAGACGTACTTCTTCCCGAAAAGCCGCTCCTTGTACACCTGAATGCAGAGGAGGAGGGAGGCTGGGCCCTTCTTTCCCTTTTTCTTTTATTTCCCTTGACACTCTCCAGCCTCTTGGGAACCAGAGAAGAGCAGAGAATTGAAAAGAGGAATCTACAAGTCTCGGAGGGAGTGGGAAAGACCTGGCAATTCCTCTTTCTAAGCTCCTCCCCAGCTAGTCAGGAAAGATGGGACTCGGGCTCCTGCAGAAGCACAGAGGGTACAAAACTGAGATCTGGAGAAAGTGCTGTGTGTGAGAAGCCAAGATGGGAGGCAGAGTCAACAGACAGGAGCATCATATTACTCGTCATCTCACAGCATCTGCTATCAACCTGATCAGAGATGCAAACAGGAGACCCCGCAACACACCCAACGTACAGAGCCCACCCAGACCCCTGCCTCCTCTGATTCCAACTCTACCTCACAAAAAACTTTCCGGGCTTCGGTCTCATAGAACAGTCCCACGATGATCCGGGCATCCTGGCGCTGCAGCGTGGACAGAAACAGCTGCTGAGGAAGGCCTGGAAACAGCCAGCTGCTGAGGGAGGCCTGGAAACAGCCAGCTGCTGCCACGGCATTCATCCCCTGCCCTAGAGTGCTTAATGCAGGGTTCTGCTGGAGGGGTAGCATAGAAATGTCACTGGACAATGGAAATGAACCTCCCCAGGAGATGCTACTGTCTCGCAGAATCAAAATTCTGTGATGCGATAGAGATGTTAGCTGGGGGGTGGAGGAGAGGGGAAAGTGGGTGATGGGCATTGAGGAGGGCACTTGTTGGGATGAGCAGTGGGTGTTATATGGAAACCAATTTGACAATAAATTATATTCATTAAAAAAAGAGATGTTAGCTAGCATGGGTTGTAATCGTATTGCCACACATCAATGTATCATCATAGCTTATATAATATTACACATCAATTATATACAACCTATAATATGTAACATGCAATATATAACTGCATGCTACATATATATGCATATGTATCAGATCAACTCGTTGCAGGCTGCAAGCTTACACAATGTTATACACTAATTATATCCCAACAACCTGCCTGTCTGGTTCTCCTCTCCAGCCCACCACTGTCCCCCCAACCCGGTCCCTCTGTAGGCTGAGCCCACCACTCCCAACCACCCCACCTTAAGGTTTTTGACAGGCACAGCTGGATCTGAGAAGAAACTCTGGCGGAAAGTAATCTCGATTCCAGCCTCCTTCACTCGTTCCTCTAGGTCGTCCAGAGTCTTGGGTGGGAATAAGAAAAAACGGAGAAAGCACAGGTGCACAGTGGCATAAAGACTGGAGATGCTACCTGGGGATCATACACTCTGAAGTGGAGGAACCGCAGTTCTGACCCTTCCTTCAATGGCATCTGCCCCAGGGTGGGAAGAGCTCAAAGGAAAGCAGCTGGGGTCTCAGGGATGGTCCTACGTGGGAAGGTACTTATGAGCCCCTCGCAAGGATCTGTGTCCTGGGAGGTCACCCTATCCCCCCACCCCCACCCCCCGCCAATCCCTACCAAGCAGCAAACATAGGGGAGAGCAGAACAGAGGAATCGGGAAAGATGAGACAGGGTCTGGCGTGCACACGATGGTCTCAACCTCAAGAGGCAAGTGGGCAGACAAAAGGATCACAGAAGAATGTCCTGGTCACTGAGAGAAAGTCAGGGGAGGATTGAAGGGCTGCTGAACATGAGGGCGGGTGGAGGATCCAAAGACCAGAATAAAAGGAGGGGCTGCCTCCGTCAGGTTCAGAGCCCTGAGCTTCCTCTTTTCCACCCGTGCTGTTCCAGAGACGTCTTCTGCCTCTCCTGTCCCTCCTTCTCCGTTCCCACTCACACCTGCCACCCCGAGTGTCTCTGGATTTGCTGCCTTTCTGGGTTCTTCTCTCACATTCTCTCTCTCATCTCATCTGAACTGTGGAGTGAACCTACTTTATTAGAAGTGGGTCATTTGGGTCTGTCTGGGGAAGAGAACATCAAAGGGAAAAAATGTCCTAAAACTAAGAAGTTGGAAAGAATCTTGAAAACTCAGCTCTGCTTATTCCTCTGGCTACAGAAAGAACATGCACTTAACCCAGTCGGAATGTGTCTGCTTTTGATAAAGAAACAGGATCTTCTCCCCAATAAGGGATCCTGGCCACATGTCTCCACTGGCATGTGGGAAATGCGCTCTCACCGAGGTGAAGACCTCAGTGGTCTGCTGGATGGTGGCGATCTTCCTCCAGCCCCACTTCTCAAAGAGCTTCACCCGGGTGGGATTGTGGAGTGTGGCCGACGGATGAGTTCGAAAGAACGTAGGGAAACGCTGCCGGTTGGACAGGGCCGGTGAGCTGGAGCCGTAGGAAAGCTGAGGGACAGACACAGTGCGGGGCACGCTCACGCTCCAGGCTCCCAGGAGAGGGGACCCTCCCAGACCCACCGCCTGGCACAGGTGCCTGTTACCTGATCTGACTTCACTTCCGTCTGACAAGAAGCTAAGTCAGCTGCAGCTATCAGCCCCCTGCTG